ATGATCATGGAAAGGCAAAGAAGATACTGGTTATGGAGATTGAGAGAGATAGGGCGAAGGGGAGATTGAAGCTTACACAGAGGAGTTATCTGCAGAAGATATTGAAGAAATTCAGCTTTGATGAAAATGCAAAGGAAGTGAGTACTCTATTAGCTCCCCACTTTAAGCTTTCAACTAAGATATCGTCTGTTTCAGTTGAGGACAGAGAATACATGTCGAAGGTTTCATATGTCAGATTTGTCACGGGCCGTGAGCATGGTATCCAGGTACATGCACGACCCCGAAAAGGGTCATTGAGAGGCCGTGAAGTGGATTCTACGTTATATCAAAGGTACTGTGAATGTTGATTTGGTATTTCAGAAGAATAAGAAGACGGGACATGATTGTATTGGCTATGTGGATTCAGATTATGTGGGGGATCTAGACAAACGCCGGTCTATATGTGTTTACATTGATAGGAGCACCGATATGTTGGAGAAGTACATTTCAGTCTACAGTGGCTCTCTCTATAACAGAGGCGGAGTATATGTCGGTGATTGAAGCTGTGAATGAGGCTTTGTGGTTGCATGGATTATTGGAGGACTTGGGGATTGTACAGGAAACCATTAAGGTACATTGTGGTAGCATATCAGCTATCTATTTGGCAAAGAAGTAGGTTTATCATGCGCGCACGAAGCATATCAATGTCGGATTCTACTTTGGTCATGATGTCTTGGATGAATGAGACATCATTTTGGAGAAGATCCACACGAAGGACAACCCTGCGGATATGTTGAGCAAAGTTGTGTCAGGTGTTAAGTTTGGTCATTATTTAGAGTTTTTGAACATTCTTCAGTGTTGAGGCCTTTGGAGGCCATTTGGATGAACTACGTGAGGCTTGATTCATTAGGCAAAAGGATACATGTGCAGTCTTCAGATGCAGCTAGTTGGATTTATTGATTTTGATGGGGTGAGATTGTTTGGACTCTCGTTCGAGTTCCCAACTTGTTGTGGATTGAGTACGTTGTCGTGAATCAACTTCACGGTGTACTGGACACAACAAGTGGGATATTTGGATGCTTTGGTGTCAGCTCAATTTTGGAAGAAACTTCACCAAGGTGGAAAATTGTGAACGTGAGGAACACCACGTTCATGAAACGGAGCAAAGCAAAGGGCATGCACGTGGGGGCCACGAGCAAAGCAAAGCACGTTCGCGTGGGGGCCATGAGCTTGAAGAGTTCCTAGGACAGCGTGCAAGTGGTGTGAAAAGAAAAATGCAGAGAAAAATTGAAGACTCTTTTTGGCTGTAGCAAGGATTTGTGCATCCCTTTGAGAGAGAAATTATGAGAGATTTGAGAGATTGTTTGAGGGTTTTATTTGTTAGACTTTGTGTTATTGTAAACCCTATTTGTATTCTCTCTCTCTAATAGTAGATCTCCCCCTTCCTCCTTGCCCCGTGAACGTAGGTAACTTGCCGAACCACATAAAATTCGTTGTCTTGCTGTGATTTGTAATAGCTTATTAGGTTTCCTCGACAAGTCAGTCTTAGAACTGATGAGAGGAAGAGTGTATATCCCACTTTGTTGAGATATATCTCTTTCTGTTCTTGTTTCCTTTGTGAAACATGGATTTAGTTGTGATCTTTCTCTCTTATTGTGCACCAGAGGTGCTGCCGAAATTTCCGTTGCGTACAACAATTACTACCTTTGGTTGTAGCTTGGAAGCTATAAACAAATTTAGTTTAGTCTTTTCGCATATGTTAGTAATCTATTTAATAGTAATATTCTTTAAAGCACGTCAACTTCGTCTTACACCAAAACAAACAATCGACTCCAAGCATCGTGACTGATTGAATCAGAGCATTGAATTAGTGCTCAATAGTCTTTTTTGTCATCTAACATTTACCCTCACATCCTCATTTTAGACCTCTTCTCTCTCTTTCGATTCTCTTGCACTGCTGGTTTATATATTTCTACTCAACAAATTCCTTAGGCATCTTGCCCTTGTTTTTCCACAAGGGAAAAAGAAAGTACTGCAGCCCAACATTTTTTCTTCTTTTTAGGATGGGCCTATTGGATCTACAAACAAGGGAATCATGCTTTTTTTTCAGAACCGTCCACATATGATAAATAAGCAGTTCTTACCTTACTCGATACTAGTAAAATGAAAATTTGCTCCTCTATTATGTGGTTTAGAAACACCTCTTGCATTAAGTTAGTTATGATGGGATAAGTATAATGGATTGGAAGATGAATCAGCCTTAGGAACGTTTACTGTGAAAATTTTGGCTCGGATCATTTTGGCAACCTTACCTTTGGGGTCGGATCTTTTCTACAAAGGCTTTGGGTTGTGATCACGTTTTCCTAGGTTTGGACTAAAATAGTTGAGGTGAGACTGAAATGAATTGGCTATTTTGGTTTCCGGACCGAATTCAAAGCCCAAAACATTCGGTTTGAAACCCTAGATGCACGTGCGACACTTACAAATCTTGATCGATCCGATGATGAAGAAGGCTCAGATTCAAAGAAGCACTAGTGGAAATAAGGGTTTTGCTGACGGCAACATCGCTGACGGGAAATTCCCGTCAGTGTTGTTTATATCGCTGACGGGAATTCCCGTCAGTGATGTTGCCGTCACCATTTCTTGGTTGCCGTCAGCAAGAAGGCTCAGATTCAAAGAAGCACTAGTGGAAATAAGGGTTTTGCTGACGGCAACATCGCTGACGGGAAATTCCCGTCAGTGTTGTTTATATCGCTGACGGGAATTCCCGTCAGTGATGTTGCCGTCACCATTTCTTGGTTGCCGTCAGCGATGTGAACATCGCTAAATGGTTGCCGTCACCATTTCTTGGTTGCCGTCAGCGATGTGAACATCGCTGACGGGTTATGGAAATTCCCGTCAGTGATGTTGCCGTCACCATTTCTTGGTACCCGTCAGCGATGTTGTTCCAAAATATTCACGCGAGAATTAGTTATGCTTTAATTTTTTTTGATGGGGAAGTTTACGACTTGTGTGAATTGAGATCATGTCAAAATTTGACTTGAACGCTGCACTGAGCTCTTTTGATGGAATAGGACAAACAAATTCAATCTAGAATACCAAAAACTATTATTCATGGCAATTTTTTACTCATACATTAATTGCTGGTGGCTTGATGGCAGTTAGAGAAAGAAACATCAAAATAAGAGGTCAATTATTCCACAGTTGTCCTCTATAAAACAAAATAGGAACACATATCAAAATCAAAATATAGGAATACTTGGACAGAAAAAGTTTAAGTTCCTTTTTATTTAATTTATTTGTTCTCCGGTAGTAAAGTTCTTGCCACATAAAAGCAAAAGGAAATAAAAAAAATTTGTATGTTTATTCAACTTGCAGATGTCTAAAAACATTAACAGGAGGTTATTCGAAGCTAACCCCAGTCAAGACCAATCCACTGAGGAAGAGCCACCGAGTTCAGGAGAGATGTCAGGTATAACTTAGTTTAACTTAAGTATTTTTTATTCATGATATATGCACAATGATAATTTATTTCTTTTAATTTTTTAGGTGAGGGTGAGGAAGAGCCGACTCCCGTACCATTATATGCAGATCCTCCAGTGATACTTCGAGCATATATTCCCGGGATTGAGCGCGGGCCTTTACCAGCATGTGCAGAGGGGTACAGACTCAAGCAGACAGAAAAGTACATGCTTGCAAAAAAACGATTGGATGAATGGGGCCCACAGATTGATGAGATTTTATCTGATGCAAAAAATGAAATCAGACAAAGATTTGGTGAGTTTGATCAAAAATTTTCATTCCGAGTCTATTATTCACATATAGGTTTTTAGCAGACAGAAAAATACAATTTGATCCTCGCATATTATTCACATATAGGTTTTTAGCTCAACTAGTGACAACAAGATATATGGTGACAATATACCACAAAACTAGACCAATGCCAGCACAAATAATTTCATACAGTCTAGGCAAACCATGTTATGGTAAAGGCATGAGTCTTAGGCCCCGTGCCTATGCACAAGTTTGTCAAATTATATGTGGCTCATGTCTAACATTTTTCTACAACTAGAAAGAAAGCCAAAGTAATTTATAAAAGTTAATATTGATACTGATATTACTCTTGTTTAGAGGAATTTGCAATTTCAGTTGATGGTAAAAGTCCAAATCTTATGCAATAGAAGAGAGTAGGTGAGTTCTTTTGGTTGAATTCATGTTTGATCTTCAGTTTGAGTATAAATTTTGGTGCTTATAATTTGTATGAAATTATTTATTTAGTGAGAAAAAGGCAACAACTGGCTGCTGCCTTTTGTTTTGTGAGTTGATGCTTCTTTGAGTCAGCTAAGTTTGGACGTTTAAGCTAAGGATTAAACTTTAAAATCTTGTTGTTTTATAAGTGGCACGTGGGTTTGACCGTAAATATAATGTTACCAGTGAATAAAGTTTCAGCCTTAAAAGTAACTAAGAAGAAAAGATTTTTCATATATTGACATTTTTAACTCTAGAAAACATTCAATATATTTTTCATATCTTTATGCAACTAGAAAACATTCAATATATGCTCGAAGTATCACTAGAAAACATTCAATCTAAGAGCTTAAGTGTTGATATATCTATTATTTTTTTATTTGTTGTAGGAGAAAAACTTTACCAGAAAAAAGGACGCCAAGGAAGTGACTTCAAAAAAAAGTTACCGCCGGATGGTTTTCGAGCAATTGTGAGATGGATAAGAGCTTAAGTGTTGATATATCTATTATTTTTTTATTTGTTGTAGGAGAAAAACTTTACCAGAAAAAAAAACGCCAAGGAAGTGACTTCAAAAAAAAGTTACCGCCGGATGGTTTTCGAGCAATTGTGAGATGGGGACATAATGAGATTCCAACCGGACAATGGGCTAATAACTTTAGCTCATACCTTGGATGCTTGATACGGAGGAGTGATAATGTGAATCCTTATTATGAGGCTTGGGAGCAGCCATTTCATGTCCTGGAGAGTATATATTGAGATTGTTGGGTAAATTCTTCTATTTAGCACAATTATTTTTCAATTCTGTCAATTGTCCATGCTTAACTATATTTTAATTTTTAGAGATATTTCAACATCGAAGACAATCCCGTAGGGTGGGAATTTTTATTTGGATACCAGGGAAAGTTCAAGCATTCTCTTCGGGAGTGGAGACATGAGATAAAGAAGAAATGCTTTGATTGTTTCACTCACAACTGGGAGAGGATATACAAGCGAGATAAGAGGGTTGAGCCTGAGCACTTAGCTGCACTTATAATATTGTGGGGCCAAGAGGAGCACCAGGTAAATATGTATAGTAGTTAATTATCATCAAGTTATTTATCTGAAACTAGTGATATATTTCATTGTATATTATAGCTTGTACTAAAATTCTCTTTGTTCATGTTGAAGGAAAAATGTCGGAGAAATAAACTTAATCGATGGAAAAAAGATTATGATCATCATACGGGGACTACTTCATTTGCCCAGATTGAGGATCAATTTTGTAGGACAACGGTATAAAGTCTTTTAATCTTCTATATATATTCTCTCCGCTTCCTAGAATATTTGATAAATAAAACTAATAAATATATTTTTAAATCTCAGAACGCTCCCTTTATCCCGCTACCAGAACTGCACAGGAGAACGATGGTTCAATTTAAGAAGGGGTATGATGACGATGAGAATAAAAAACAAAAGCTAGAATTGGCCAAGAAAATGCAGGTTAACTAATTATCTTAGCTCTTATTAGCATGTTCTTTTGTTGGGAATTTAATGTTTGCACTCTTCTTTTGGTCATCTTAATTATCATGTATGATCCAAATGCACATGTGTTCGATATGTTGTTTGTTACAATTTAACAAGGGAAGAAAGTTTTAAACCACAGAGGGATTTCTTTGTTCATCTGTCAGGTTCAGTCTATAGATCTAGTGAAAGCCTGAAAAATGTTTAGCTCAACTGTCCTAGGGAAATGAAACCTGTAGTGTTTTTAGTTAAAAATGCCAATATCCAGTCTTTTCACAGAAAGGTTTTCGATTTTCTGTTCAGTTATGATTGAGCCTGACTAAGTTTAAAAGATATATGTGCACGAATGTTTGTATACAGGGGGTGGGGGGGGGACTCTTTGTCACATTTTTTATTCTCTTCAACTGTTAACTATAGGTAACTCTGTCTTTTATCTAAATGGATCACAATGGAAACGGTAGTTTGCAAAAAGCAAGCTGAAGAACTAAAATTGAAACCTGTAAATTTAGTACTGCATGGTTCATGTAATCTAGAATAGTGGCGAGAATACTGTCTCATAAAAATCTGTTGATTTATCTAGTTTGTGATTTCTCTAGTTTGTGATTATAATTCGTTCTAAATTTAGTACTGCATGGTTCATGTAATCTAGACCCTCTGTTTTCAAAATGAAATTCGATGGGAAAGTTCTTAGGATCCGCCGTTGATGAGTGTGTGTCTGTGCGCATGTGTCTATTTATGTTTCTGTTTGTGTATGCATGGATATTACTTGGATGTGTGTTTATGCTTGTGTTTATCTATGTATGGTGTATGCATGGATATTACTTGGATGTGTGTTTATCTATGTATGGTGTAGGTGTGGATGGTATGTGGGTGGGTGTTTGTGTGTGCATCTGTTAATTATGACAATGACAATGATCAGGGCCTTAGTTTGATACCCTGACATAGTGCTTATATACTGTCAACCATTTATTAGCACTTAGCCGTCCTCAGTTGTGGAACTATTTCATCTTTTATTCTACTTGTTCAGGTAAATATCTTTTATTTTTGAAAGGCCAATTCTTAAATTTATATTTTCCTCTTTTAGGAAGCTCTAGAAAATACATATTCTGAGGTTGTTGCACAGAGCCAGGAGCCCCTGACTAGAGAGCAGAATTATAATGTGAGCCATTTAGTTTGTGGACTTCCTAAAAAAGGGAGGACCAGGTGGATGGGAGTTGGAGCTCAGAGGGTGTCTACACAATTCCAGCCTCCGCCGATTTCAACACCATCGACTATGCCATCGGGGCCCTCTTACATGCCGCAGGAGGATTGCACTCAGCAGGCGATGCAGCTTGTTTCCTCTGTGATGAGTATGTTAGATGGTCAGATTCCCGAGGAGATGTGGGAGGATATTCAAGAGGAGCTTATGCGAGTGATCCAGCCTACTGCTACTTTTGCGATGGTTTCTAGGCAAATAATGAAATCTTGTAGAAGGCGGGTTCCTACTCGGGTGCAAAGCCAGATTATGAACTTCTTGGCCACTCAAAAGGCATTTACTGGTAGTGGAGAGAGTAGCAGACAAGTATACTTATTATATATGTAAAACATGATTACACACAATATTATGTGATTCTAAATTTAAATTATTTTGTTGTTAGAGTGGAGATGATGCTATTGGGAGCATGAGTCGTAGGGATGGAGCCGCTAGTGGCGCCACGGACGATGACAAGGATAGGGCGGATGACCTATCTTAGTGAGTTATATCCTAAACCCGTGTTTGTATATTGGAGATTATGATATGCGTGTATGGTCTATTGTGGAAAATTTTGTGGATTTAGAACTTATGATATGTGTGTACGGGTTTGTTATGGGATTTTTTTGTGGATTTAGAACTTAAGATATGCGTGTATGGTTTGTTGTGGAAATTTTTGTGGATTTAGAACTTATTGTGAAAATTGAATGTACATATTTCGAATATTTGGGAAAATTGATTGAATAAGAGATGTTTGTGAAATTTGGATTGCGTATATTTCGAGATGTTTTGGAATGTGCAAGAAATGTCATTGTTTGCAGATTTGTACAGGGAATTGATATTTGTTTTGGAATGTGCAAGAAATGTCGTTGTTTGCAGATTTGTACAGGGAATTGATATTTGTTATGGAATGTACAGGGAATTGATTGAATGTACAGGGATATTTGTTATGGAATGTACAGGGAAGGGGAACTGATTATCAGCTAAATTTTTTTAGCTGCTAATATTATCGCTGACGGGAACCCCGTCAACAATAGACATCGCTTTTCGTCAGCACTGTACAAACAATCGCTGACGGGGATGCCGTCAGCGATAACTATCGCTGAGGTTTTCCCGTCAGCGATATTATGTACATCGCTGACGGGAAACCCGTCAGCGATATTATGTACATCGCTGACGGGAAACCCGTCAGCGATGCCTCATTATCACTGACGGCTTTCGCCGTCAGCGTTGTTGCCGTCAGTAATACGTATTACTGACGGGGCCCCGTCAGCGATACTTCTTCCCTGACGGGACTATCACTAACGGCATATCCTTGACGGGATGCCGTCAGCGATACTGATCGCTGACGGGATTTTGAGCATTTCTGACGGGATTGCCCGTCAACGATGCCTGTTTTTCCACTAGTGAAGGAATGCGGATTTAACTAATTAATGAGCGGAGAAGCACACCACAGAGAATAGGAACCTTAAATTAAAGGAAAAGCTAAAATTTCCAAAATAATTCTCAAACTACATGAGAATGATATAGACCATTCCATTCAATAGAGATATTCCGACATAATCTCTATTTCAACCCAGAAGAAAACTTACAGAGATAAGGTTATAGAACTGGTGTATACGAAGAAATAATGCTTAAGAAAGAATGATTCTCTTATTGTTTTGAAGCACGCATTATCTAATTGAATACCTTTAACAGAGAGAGTAAGCATAGTTTTAAATCTGATTTCAAAGGATTGTTAGTCCATGAAATTGTATAGAAAGTAGGAGTCTAATTTTCTCATGTGATGATTATTTTTTGAGCAACTTGATATGGAGCATAGGGCATCTCCAACCCCCCCCCCCCCCCTTTTTTTTTTTTTGCGTTGTGTGTGAATAAGAGCATTAATTACTTTATGTTCTTATTGTCCCATGTTTCTGACCAATTACTTTTTTAAAAAAATATTACATAGCACCCAAGCAAGCATATATGGTTGACATATCTGAACCAAATTAACAAATCTCAACTAAAAATCTTTCAGATAGGAAGCGAGCCTTTTCCGCTACCTAAAAAATGTTCCAGGCTGTTTTTTCATTAATAGGGGGTTAGTCACCTAGAACTTAAAATTAGAACTGGGATAATCTGTGGGATAAAATTTTAAGGTGTTAGTCACATAGAACTAAACCTAGAATAAAATTTTAAGGTGTTAGTCACATAGAACTAAAACTAGAATAAAATTTTACAGTGTTAGTCAAGCAGAACTTTAACAAAACTAGAATTGGGATAATTGTACAAAATTATCCCACTTTTTTTATTTTTCTATACAAAAATGAGAGTTCTAGTCTCTCAAATTATTCCAAGTTTTAGCTTGGAACTATGTGGTAAAAAACTAGAACTCGTATTTATTTTGTTATTTTTTTATTTTTTTCTTTACTTATTTCCTATTATGGTTATCACCATCATTAGACCATCATCATAATAATAATTGTCAATATCTTATAGTCTAACCAAAAGTTATTTAATAGTAACGAATATTCTTGTAAGCAATTATCAATTAATAATAGTAAGTTTAAAATACATAAATAGTATTTATATCTTCAAAATGCATAAATATATACTTCATGATTATAAAAATTTATCCCACGTTATTTTATCAAAATATCCTGCTTCACAAAATTGTTCCTAGTTATCCCACTAAAATATCTCACTAGCGAAATATTATTCCACTTTAACAATTATCCCATTTTACATGAAAATGTCCCAATTGACTAACACCCCCTAAAAGAAAGAAAGAAAGAAATATAGAAACTGTACCCCCACACTCATTATGGTAGCGTACATAAAGTCAAGATGAAAAAACAGTACATATTGTAAATGAGGAAATGGATTTGCGTAAATGAGGAAAAGGATTTGCATTTAGGGAAAAATGTGTCCAGGCCCCAAAAGTGGGAACTTCGTGTGACTAGCCCCCCTGTACTTTGCCCCATGTGGAATAGCCCCAAAAAATGGGCTTTAATGTTTTAAGCCCCCTCCACGTCAGCTTTATACTAAAAGCAGATGGTATTTTACAAAAAAACCGAAACTGCCCTTCTCTTTCTTCCCCAGACGAGTCCTGGAAGTCACTTCTCATTAATGCGATATGATGGGGAAAATGAAGGGAAATTTCCCCCTTTTTTTACTCCATCTAACTAGTTAGTTCTCCATTACTCCTCCTCAGACCAAAATTCTCTCCATAACTCTCTCCATCATGAGCAATAACTAGTTAGTTCTCTATTACTCCTCCTCAGATCAAAATGGCTGAAAAGGACATCATCTGCATTGTCTCTTCGCAGTATAAAGCGTCCATCGTAGATTGAATCGTAGGACTCATGGTCATCACCTATATAATTTTCTCTTTTGTGCTCTTTCTTTACCCCACCAATCTTTACTATAAATCGACCTAAATCCCATACGCAGCTTTTAGCAAACTCCTTTTGAAACGTCAATAGGCCTGTATATCCGGTCGAACCTTTAACGCGTGGGTTGTAATGGGACGGTAGCACATTGAACCTCGCCCTTGGAGGCACTCTAGATTGACCTAGCATTATTGCCATGCTGCCCACAAACTGTGATTTTCCACAAACCTTTTGATTTCAAGTCTATTATCATTTTTCGGGTTGGCAGAGCGCAAATTTAACATCAACGGACAATTTTTTTGCCTGCCTTAAAACCGACAAAAACACTCGAATACGCTTCGGTTCATTTCTCCAAAACTCGTATTTTTCAATTTTTTTGCCATGGGTTAGCTATTAG